AAAGGAGAGAGAGAGAGAGAGAGAGAGAGAGAGAGAGAGAGAGAGAGAGAGAGAGAGAGAGAGAGAGAGAGAGAGAGAGAGAGTATCTTACGTCATGTATTTTTCTCACAGTCATAGTGTTCGTCTTTAAATATATGAGTGTCCTGAAGCTTTTCCCGAAATATTTGTCAGTTTGTGACGGAGGCTACCGGATTTAATTCTCTGTTTGTAGTCGAAGTGCCACGCGAGACGTTCACACGAACCCTTGAGTCTTAAAAGCGAGCAAACACGTCTCCAGAAAAAAAAAATGTAACGTTGAGACCATTACACGAACTCGTGGTGGAAAAACACGCTTAGACTCTGATTATGTAGGCTGCAAATGAGGTATTTACATTTCTGTTCCGCCGCCTTTTCACTACTTCTTTTTTTTTCTTCTTTTATATACTGCTTGAGGGTCATCTTTACATTACATGGTGGTTAAAGTGGAACGCTTGGTGAAAAGAGTGGCGTGTCTCGACTGAACGGTCCTTGCTTTCGGCGAGAGGTTTATTACTGAGTACCTTCCCTTGATACGCAACGCTCGCTCATCTCTCTCTATGCACCAAGGAGATTAAAAGTTCTAAGCTCCTTGCTATGCACTCACCTGGTTTATGAGGCGAGGACCTGGATTTAAAAAAAAAATCTGCCAACAAAGATCCTTTTGTGTCGATAGAGTCGTGATGTTTAAACGCCAGCATTCCCCATCAGCGATAAATGTTATGGAATATTTTAAAAATCAAGTTAAGGATTAATGTTACTCTAGAATTTAATAGTTGTACGCATTCATCATGTAAAATTAATTATACGTTTATTTTCACTTGTTCCAAACATGCCAGCGTTGAAGCCTTGGCCTGGAAGTTTTGATGAATAAAGAGGCTCAGTTTTGTCTGTTTTTTGTGGGTTTTTTTGCTGCAAGTTGGTTTGTAGATATTTGAGGCCTGTTGGTAGCCTAATAACTAATTAAGTAATGTGCTTCTGAAAGCAAAATATGCATATTCTCAAAAATTTGGTGATCACACCGAAGTTCAATTACCACCACTCAACCCCCCCCCCCCCCAA